AATTTGCTAAATATTTGTTACGAGATGTTCCTGAATTAAACCGTATGTGATGAATGACATAAACAACTCTCCATACCTTCAGTTCCAGTCATCTTGCTCAGTCTTCTCAACACCGAAATCTGATACTGAGGATAAATCTAAGACGAAATCCAGAACTGTCTCATAGACAATGACAGTCCCTCTGTGTCACTGTCCTCTTGAGACTTCAGTCAACTTGCCCCTCATAAATGTAGGATTATCACATGCTGAAAAGAGTGAAAATGCATATAATTTAGTGAAGTAACACTGACTTGTCCAGAAACAGTACATTCATACCATGTATGTTAACACTAGTGTGTTAGAAAATGACAACAAGCGGATACAATTTTACTACATTTATACGTAACTAGTGAACCATTTTACTGTCAAACAAACACGTGTGAGAATTTCACGCAGAAAGCATTTAGAAAACAAGACATTATAGATGATTGTTGACTACGATTTTACAACCAACCGGATGGGTTGGTTTAGGCTGCATGCGGTCTATCCGATGGTCAAACAGGCCTACATGCTCATAAAACAAAACCAAGGAGTGATCAAAAAGACTGTCAAAAACTGCAACACACACATAACATAAGACTGGCTACGTGAATGAAGCTAACGCTCTCGTCGTGCCATTATAAACTCGAGCTGTCACTATCAGATTTCAGCGTGACATGTAACACAGAGGGTTAAAACATGAATACAAACCCATTTCACTTAGTGAGACAAACGGATGTGGCTGAGGACTGAATTAATCCGATCCTTTTCCTGAACTGTCCGTTGATGCTGTTGCTAGCCGACTTAGCTGCCCGGCTAGCTGGTAAATGGACAGTTTACGCCCAACCCAGGCTAATACTATTAGATGGTCGATATCGCGCCGCTGCACACGATCACCAGCAGGGACTGATAAAAAAAATCGGAAACATTGCGCTCAAACCGCTCGAGCGGAAGGAAGAACGACCTACCCTTAAAACCGGCTGCAAGTTACATTATAGACTCTATGTAAACGCCTGTCAAAGTCATTCAGACAGACAGCATCATCAGCATCGGATCACGCGAATGAGCTTGTTTGGGTGGCCACGCGATGGGACCTTATATCAGCAGCATATCAGATATTTACATGCGAGTGGGTGGATTCGTCTGTTTGTGATATTATTTACAAATTATCACTTAAAAATTATCTACAGTACATTTTACCAACAGGCACTCCTTACCTGGAAGACCCACTGCCTCCACAATATTAAGTTATTATTTGCAATATAGCAATTGGCAACACATTTTTTTTTTTACATATTAGTTTAATATAAATATAAATAATGAATAATAATAATATTAAGTGGAAGATTCCTTTCAAATGTCCCCTTTAAGATTTACATACATCATGCCAACTCATTGGTAATGCTTGTACTTTCTGTACGATGGTGATGAAGATATTCTGACTTTAGTTTTTGACTGTAACATTAAGATTTTTTGGGCAAAACTTTCAAATCATGTATTGATCCACCTGAACGATACTTTCATCTACCGAAAACAAATATAATTAAGGTTTTGCGTTTGTTAACTTCTTTATTTTTCTTTATGATTTATCTACAAGATGCATATTTTTCTTTTCAGTCTTCTATATTTTTTATAATAAACTGAAAGTGATCAATTTCCAAATCCCCCGTAAAGAGTTATTTTTGTATGAATGTTATGCTACAATGCAACCCTCTGTACTGTTCACTATATATTCTATTAGTATTTATGTTATTTAATAAAGCAGTGAGATGTATTGACGTAAATGTAGGTTTCGGAGATGTCTGACCTGCTGCACCTGATCTCGCGGCGTGCTTTGCTCTGAGCGAGCATCGCGCGGCTAGGCTGCTAACGTCATCAGCAACACAGGCTAAAACCGACTAGCTCGCTAACAGCTCAGCCAACAAACTGACCGACTGTGACCAGCCCCAAAAACCGAACTACAACATATCGGCGGCGGCTTCGAGTTAACTCTGGAAATGTATGGAAGGCAAAAACATACACGTTTTGCGGTTACAACTTACATGAGCGCTGAGACAGAATTGTGCTGATGTCCGTTAATTTCTCCTGAGGGAACACTCCCACTGTGACGTCAGCAGCGCGCTCACAACGCGTGGTCACACTGCGCGTGGCACGATATGACGGAGTGATCACATCAGAGGTTCAACTTGGACATTGGTTTTCCATACAAATAAAAGCGTAAGGTAATAGCTACAACACTAACAATTAAATGGCGGAATGAAGAGACTAGCTAACGTTTTTTTGAATTGTAAAAACGCCTTTTACAATAGGAACATCCTACTTCGTTTACAAGTTCTAGAAACATTTAATTAACTCTAATTTAGAGCATTGCTACATTGCATACAGTTTATATTACATTAATCAATTTAATTTGATGAAAAAGGGCGAAATTTAAAAAGCAAACACGCTCAACTCTTCTCCCTTCATTTGGAAACTGGTGTTAAAATAACATAGTTAGGAACTATTCACTGAAGCAAAATACCATTGAAAAACCAGTTCCTCTTGTCCTTTAAGCCATTTCAAATTGGCTTGTTTGAGAGCTATTTTGTCCTATAATTCTAATGAAAGACATGGCTGTAAATATTAACTAATACCTGACTTTTTGCTTAAAGTAGGCTATATGCAACTGAAGCTTTATTAGGTTTAAGAGAAACCTGGGGGGGGGGGGGGGGGGGGTCACATTTTAGTCAGGTGGGACACATCATGAATATATACAGCGTCAAACAGAGAGAGAGTTTCTAAAAATTATCCATTACACTCCAATTAGATTCTGAAATCCACCTTTTTCTGGTACACAAAAGTTTGTAAAAAAAATTTAAAACCAATAAAAAGAGCACCAAATGTTATTTCCCTGATATATTGAAGATTTTGGTTGGCTGAACAATGAAAACATTTGTGAATTGTGTGCACAGTTTGAGAAAATTATGCATATGATTTGTAATTTGTATGAAATTAGGAAAAACTACAATATGTTTAAAGCACTTACAAAATATTCAGATAACCGTTTTGAGAGCAGTTGAGTTTGTAGATATAGCCTAATATACTAAGTCTTGGACTATGTAAAACCATGACAAAGAAAGCAGATTTCTGTTAATCTGGTTTAAAGGGCCATTTTAGTAGGACTAGTCTAAGGACCATCAACTCACCATTTAAACTGCCCTGTCAATCATCTTGTCACAGTTAAAATCCTCCACATTCAATTCAACTTTATTTCCTACCATTTCTGAGAGAAATGTACCACGTTGGTCTGCCAGCATTGGGTTTTTTGTGTAGAACTCATGCATTTGCAATTTGTACAATGATGCATTTAAAAGTTAATGACCAATTCAATTGTATTCACAATGCTGTTGCAGATGAAATATGTGGATAACATTGAATGAATATCTTTGTTAAATACTGATAATTATTCACTCAAACCCCTTTATCTAAACCCTGCTACTTAACCATCCACCATGTTAGTTGAACATGGTGTTTGACAAAGTTAGTTGAACACTTAGATTGTGTATGCCATGGATCCACACTTCAATTTTTATGTGGAAAAAAATAGATGATCTGGGTATCTTTGAAATATTTCAACATACAACAATTTGGGACACCAATTCATTTAGGACAGGTGAAATGAATGTCCCATGTTTTAAGCATATGAGAACACTTAGAGATCACACAGCAGCACATGCATGACAGTTTAAGCTTTTGGGGAACTCAACCTTGCTAGTGAGATCCAGCAGGAGAAACGACACAGAGCAATTAGGGAACCAGTAAGTCATTCAAAAAGCACTTTGACAGAATGTTGCTCAGTTTGTCCCACAGTAGTCTTAGATTGAAGGACAAGACTGTAAATATGAAAATTTAGGCATAACCAGTTTAAAAAAAGAAAAAAGCACAACAATTAGAATCTCATGAAGTTTTATTAAGCACTACATAAGTAATTGAAGTCTCTTCCAGGATCAATTGCCACTTTGGAATACCTCCACAATTACTCATTGTTAGTAAGACCAGTAGATAGAGGATGACCGAGCAGGAGAAGACACAGACTTAGGGCTGCGAGGAGAAAAGACTGGATCCTGAGGATACTGGGGCATGAATGGGTATTGAACACCAGGAGGCACAAAAGGTTGAGGGCCATAAAACTTTGGGTACAGTGGAGGATAACCTGCAAACTGGGCAGCAGTGTTCGTGGAGGGTGTAGTCGTTGCTTCAACTGGTCTCTTGAAGTGGTACATATGGGGATGAAACATCGGGTACCTGGACTGTTGAGGCCTCGGTGCTACAGGGTAACCTCTATAATTAAAGTAATATGGATCAAACATTGACATAGGATACATTTGATGGAACATTTGTTGGTTAGGGTCTTGAAGAGTAGTCGTTGTAGGTGGCACAGTGGGCGGTACAGGTCTTACACCAGGGCGACCATGAGAATATGGAGGATACCCCCAGGGTCTTCCAATTGGGAAAGGGTAAAACATTTGTTGACTGTCAGTTGGGTCCTGGACCGGATCAATGGTTATTGGGGCCAGCGTTGGTTGTGTCAAAGGGCAAGAAAGAGTCACTTCCCGGTCACCGTACATGAAATGGAGCTGTATATCAGTATCCTGAGGAAGACATGAACCATCAACTATATGTACAGTAGTCAACATTTGAAGTGGATCAAAACCTTTCAAAGTTATACATGAATTTTGAACAATACCCGTTCTTTTCTTAGGACAACTTTGATGAACTTTTTTGAGCCACTTTAAATGTTGACTACTGTAGTTGAATCAGACAAGGGCACTCTATTATACCTTAATTTCCCAACAGCTTCCTGTGAATGGCGCAGTGACAACCAGTGAACCATCAACAGTCTCCAATGTGAATGAACACTTAGAATATGCTAGAAGCAGAGGTTGCCATGATCCATCCACTAAGAGGAAAGAGAAAAAATAAATTAAAAGCTCACTCACCTCTTAGATTAAACTCAAAGAATTAAGTGACTTGCCTTGAACTTTAACATTATCTGCTCTGACAGCAAGTGAGATAATCATGCCAGAAGGGAAGCAGGACACTGTAGGGAGGGGAGGACTCACAGGGCAAGACATTTGCACTGGAGCCCCCATTATAAAGAGTGGCAGAATATAACGTCCACCCTGTTAGGAGATTTGGGAAGAAAAAGAATAGAAATAAAAATCATGCAAGGCCCACTTTTCATTAGTTTGGAGCAGAGCTACAGTGCACTTGTCATCTTTAGCATGCAGACTAACCTGTTGTCTGACATGACAGCCCTGGTATGGAGCATCAAGAGAAACATCTCTGCGTGCCCGCTTCAGTGAGAAACCACAGCTGGTTGGCATCTCAGACAAAGGCACTGGTGACTCAACTCCTGATGAAGAAATGTTAAAATTAAAAAAATAAAACTTAAGTATTGTTTAAAATAAAATAGCCCTACACCTCCAAAACAACTTACCTCGATCAACCAGAAAGTGTGGCATCCTTATTTGTCCTGGAATGCGCAAGGTCATTGAATCATTTCCACAGTGCACAAAGGGACCCAGACGTCGCAGCTTCGCTTTAGCAAGGTGGAATCGCTCTTAAAAACAATTCAAGTTAAGTTGTACTTCCCATTTAAAAGTAGGGCCCACTTTAAACTAAACTCAAATTACCTTCTTCATTTGACCGGTATTCATCAGACTGTTCTGCTGACCTCAGCCCAGATATTTCCATTTCTTTATCAGAGACTACACCTTGAGCACCAATTAAAAGTTTGCCAAAATGGACAGTGTTTTCAGAGACTGCTCCGTAAGCAGCACCAGTTTCAGTAAAGGACTCAGGACTAGCCCTTAAAGTCAACATGGTCAAAGACATTGTGAAAAGTAAGATGCCCTTTGTCCAAGGCATGGTGAGTTTGTTGTTCTACTCAACAGAGCACCAAAAGGAAAAAAAAAAAACCCAAAGTTACTGAACGACTTTTGTCTATAAACATTGACAAGCTTATTCTTCTTCTTGACAAGCTTATTGAGACAAAATGTGCTATTTGTACTCACTTTTGAATCATTCGCTGATACAGGTTGACCAATCAAATCTATTCCTCAATCAGCTTGTTGTTTTCACCTGTGCCTCATTAAGCTGAGAAAGAACTAACATTTATGGCTAAGTGCAGGTGGGGGAGATGCCATTGTATTTGAGAAGAGATCAGCTTGCTCCAGTCTAGTGTACTGGGCTAATCTTATGGGACATAATGATGATCACATTGCACAGCCAGTCTTAAGAAACTGTCAAGAGCGACTGAATGAGGGAGTTAAAAGTTTTGGGTGGTCTATCAAACAAAAAGTTGAGAATATGGGGTTAATTGAACTTAATATCTGTACTACAGTACCATACTCTACAGTTCCCCCTTGGACTTTTGAGGAACTAAAAGTGGATCTAGGGCTACTTGAAGAAAAGCAGGAGAAGGAAGTGGACAAATAGAGAGTCAGTAGATATATAGAAGAACATTACAGGCAGGACATAATCATATTTACAGATGCTTCGAAAAGAACTGATAAAAGGGTGGGATAAAAATGTATGATAAAATATAACATACACATTTTAGTCATGTGTCTGTCAAACAGAGAGAGAGCTTTTAAAAATTATTCAATAATGTACTTTATCCATTACACTTTAGTTAAATAGTATACATTTTAAAATAAATCTGCAGTCAAAAATGATATAAGAATCACATTACTTGAATACTATAATTTATTGTTTCCATTTAAAAAAATATGAATCTGCTATTTTGCATTTGGAAAGTGCTAAACTAAAAGACTGACTTCACCTCCACTCGCTATGCTGGTGCAGTAATGCAGTGACCCTTGGGATGGCCGTATCTCTCTCCTACACTTTTCTAATGGTCCCTGCACCCAGTTATTCAAAAGTAACCTGATCCGATTTCGGTTATCGTATTGGTTCAAATCTTGAAAATGGGTTGTTCAAAAGAAAAAAGAGGGTTCTGAAATCAGATAAGATCACAAAATCCAATCTTGGTTTTGATCTGGATCAAATCGTGAGTTTGTGTTGTTAATTTTGTTTTAGTAAGATTGGGATAGCTTTTAAAAATCAGGATTATCCTGATCCCAGTAGAAGGGTGGATTTCAGGAACAAAAATAATAATAAAACTTGAAACCTAATCAAACATTTGTAATATATAAATTTATATTTTTATTAATATATTAACATCAAAACTGTGATGTGTTCTCTGTTGATCTGATAATAAATTCAGCTGTAGATATATAACCTCCTAAAACCCAGAAATAAAAGTTTTTTTAATTTATATTTTTTTCATGCCAGTACATTTTTATAAGAAACAAAAAAACATGTTTGTGTGAAATTCATATGTTATGGTATGTCCACTATATAGTGGACACCAGGACTCAGTTGTTTAACAAATAAAATGACATAAAATTTATAGGCAAAAACAATGTTTTTTTTTTTTTCATTTACTAATCAATTTTTAGGTTTCAGGATTTTTTTTAACCAATCTTTGTATAAAGATGATTCTCAACTATGTTATGAAAGATATAATATAATTAATTCATACACCATTTTACTTTATTCAATATATGGGTAAAATGGCTGCAGTTCCATTCAATACAATCTATACACTGTTTCTAATTTGCATATTAATGTGTACTTGGGGCAACGTAATAAAAAAAAGAAGTGTAAAAATGTGAGCTATTATTGTTAGATATTATCATGGAAATAAATAAACAACATTTTCATGATAATATCTTATATATCATAGGAATATTGATCAATAATTTCTTTCCCTATTTACTTGCTGACTGTGTCTCCCAGAATGCCTGATAAACATACAAACTACAGTGGACATGTATGAAATCAATGCCCTGTTTTGTATCAAAGTCTTATTTTGATTAGAAACCCCATAACACTTTCCTGAGAAGTTGATTTAGTTGTTTGAAGTCCAATTTAAATGATAATTACAAAATATTATCATATTTAATGATATTTAAGTTAATGTATAAATTAATGTAAGTCATTTTTAAAGACCATGGGGAAGTTGCTGTCATGGTGAAACTTCTCTGAAAAGCCCTGAATGTGCTCTTTAGTCCTCTCAGGGGAGTTAGTACTCGAGCCAGTATCTGAACTGAAGCACCAGATACAGTATAGGCTTTGTTAGCTGGGGTGATGGGTCACACAACATTATCACAGAGGGGTCCATCTGATCCCGATGTTGACAAAAAAAATGATATCTCGATATTTTCTGGGATTTTGTCGATAAAGTTAATTAGAAAATATTTTCTGAGACTGCAGGTTGTGGAGAGCTGACTCCCATCATATTCTGTGTGGTGGCAGTTAACAGCAGTGACAGAAATACCTGTTGTTCTTTACATAGCTAGCATCAAGTATTGTGAAATGTACTGCATTTGGAGCAATGATAATCAAGATTTGGAAATCTGAAAAGTTGAGTATCTAGTGGTGATTTGATACAATTTCGCTTTGAACAACTAGCACAAAAGTAAGACAGATTACCAGATCCTGATAGAAAAATTTAGGATTTCAAAATCCAGATCATTCTGATCCAGATTAAACTTTTTGAACAACTAATACACTTGGGACAAGGCCCTTGAAGGCAGCATATTCATACACAGACAAACAGAGAGAGAGTTTCTAAAAATGACAAATTATTAATTTTTAATGTATTTTTATCCATTAAACTCCAGTCAATGATAATATAAGAATAACATTGGTTAATTATTGTTTCCATTGTTTATTTAAAAACATATAAATCTGCTATTTTGCATGTGGAAAGTGCTAAACTTCTTAGTAGTTCAAAGACTAGTGATGTCATCTCCACTCGCTATACTGGTGCAGTCATCTTCCACAGTGACTCTTGGGATGACCGTATCTCTCTCCCACACTTTCCTAATGGTCTCTGGAGTCAAGGAAGCCAGGGGCTCAATCACAGACACTTCAGTATGTTGTACTGCAGTCCCAAGATGCTCAGGGGAGTTAGAACTTGAGCCAGTATCTAAAGCCCACCTATAGGCTTTGCTAGCTGTGGTGGTCGGTGACACAACATTTTCGAAGAGTGGTCCACCTGACCCCTCATTTTGGGTCCAGGAGGGTGAAGAAGGGGAGAAAAGGTTACCTACACCAAGCAAGTGGGCATGATGGAGGGCGCTGTCAATGCTATGATGGAGGTTGATGGGTGAAGGGGGATGAAGGTCAAACTCAATAAGTGAGAGAATGCACTCATGTTCTTGCCATTCCACACCGCTAGTCCACAGAGGAGAGGCACGGTGGTCGTAACTGTTGTTATACAGGACACCCCTGCCAATAACTCCCGCATTGTCATGCACTGTCATGATTGAGGTCGCTGGAGTTACATGGTTTCGGATCACCGACTGGCTGACAGACTGACTGACATTTGTACGGGACTGCCTGTGACCTTTCCAGTTATTTGGCAACAGTTCAGCCCAGTTCTTATCCAGGCTCCACCAATGCCCCATTTGTAACCTGTCCAACAGCCTGTTCTTGTGTTTCCACTTTCCTCCTCTCTTAGCTGTCTGCTTACTTCCTTGTGGTCTCCAGAACACCCTAGATCCCAGTAGTAGAAGAGAGAAACTCCAGGCCAGCTCAAGCAGTCTTGCTGAGAGTTGGCCGAACCACCAGCCCCACCCAAATCTGCGCCAGTCACCAAGTAACCCATAAAGCCAGAGGAAACTATAGATCTGCAGAGTGCAGGAGAACATCCCAAGGAGGGAGCACAGCAACAGTACGCGCCTGACACTGTTTTCTAAGCTTTTCGGAGCACTCCACCTTGGTAGAGCGGACCTGTGGGAGATGCAGAGATGCTTTAGACACTGGAAAAAGATTCCAAAACAAAGCAGTAATCCCCAGCAAATAGTCAATGTCTGTAACATTAGTGGCAGTGCTGGCAACAAAGTTTTGGATAGAAGGTCAGCCATCAGGAGGGAGATACAGTGCAGTGCTGCCAGTCCCCCAGTCACTGAAAGCCGTTGAGGAGATGTTTCTTCCCTCAGAGCAAAAAGTGCCAAGGTGGCTTGGGCCCAGAGCAGTAAGGGAATTGGTAAGTTATACAAAGCAGTAAGGGCAGGGCGAGGCAGAATGTTTCTGGTACCATACGGGTCAATTATGAGCTGTACAAATCGAAGCAGACCTGTTAGCAGAAGCAGAATGTTTGCAAGAGTGAATGTCTTGCAAAAGGGGTGGAGCATATTAGTCCCACCGATCACTCCAAAAGTTGCAGCAACCACTACCAACAGAAACAGTGCAGCTGAGCCAAACACATGGACCTCCCAAGCAAAGGTTAGTGTCCGTTTCAAATCCTCCCACTGTAGCCGGGTCACATTGCCACCGGTGGAGACCACGCATGGGCCTAGTATGCATGTACTTATGACACTAGATAGATCACTCTCTGTTAATGGTCCAAACAAACGTCCAAACCATTCTGGCTTTTCGTAATCTATAATGAAAATGGAGAACATTTTAGTTAGAACACTCAACGAGTTGTTTTTCTCTAATAAAAGAGTGTAAAAGTTGTCTACAGTTTTAGTGAAAATGGCAATATTTATGTCTACCTTTGTTTTTTGAGTTTGTGGCTCTGTTTTTTGCCTGCAAAACAGATGTAGTTGTGGACGATGACCCCACAGGTAAATCAGAGGTAGTCCCTTCATGACTCTCCATACCTAAAATTCATACAAATAATCACTGTTTCTTTCCTTGATTTGCTTACATTCTTGCTTTGTTTTTTTTTTTAAATTCAGAACTGATATTGCAGTGATTTTTCAAAAAACAGAAGAAACAGAAGAAAATACTCACCCGTCTTTAATGGAGGTGTGGCTGCAGGCAGATGGCTGGTGACATAACGTTCCTCTCCCACCATGAGATTCTCAAAGGACCCTTGGATTGAGCCAGACTGCGTCATAAGCGTGCCATTGTGCCCTGATGTTTCAGGCTTTGTGATGGAACTTAAAATCTGTCTGAAAGCAATATACTTTGTATCTTGAGAAGTCTTCCAGTTTTCTTTGTTGTTCACCTCTACATTTTTATTAAATGTCTCTAAATACATATTGACTGGAGAGTTTTCAGTAGTGTTTTTCTCTGTAATTGGTTTGATGGTTGTCAACAAAGGGTGGTCTTTGTTCATTCTGTCATTCTGATCATAATGTCTTTGTTTATTTATGTGGATGTTTGTAGTCAACTGAACAACCACTGTGGACGTGGCTTCATCAGGTGCACTGCTATTGTTTGCTAAAATGACATCTTCACCTTCACCATCATCATTATCATCATCAATATACTGAGTTAGTTTTTGTGGAATTGGAGGGGAATGTGGAGCACCTAACTCTTCCACCTCAACATCTTGTTTCTCGACTCTGTCTGGAATGAACATGTCCATCTCCAGTGGACCACTAGAGGGCATCATAACCTCAAGGCTCTGCTGAAGTCCACTTCCTTCCCCAGAGCCATCATTTATGCTAAAGTTGGGCCAAAGAGGTAAAAGCAAGTCTTTGGACAACCTATTGTCAACTCTTTCCTCATTCCAGCTTGAGTGATGTGTCGCAGGTAGAGCTTTTGGAAAGCCATCAATTGCCTGAATACTCAGGTTGTTATGGTTTAAGGGTTGTGTTGAGTTAGAGCCAAGGGAAGTGACAGGTTTCTGGAGAAGAGGCAGTCCAAAAATCAGAGTGAGGAGCCAAGCCATTTCCAAAGGCTGTCGAGCAAAAACGGTGCCAGGAGCTGAGTAGTGACAGAATAGGATACATGAATTATAAAGACTTTTAGAAGCTATATGCTTTTCAAAGTGAAAGTGAATAACATTCCCCAAATCAAACCTGGATAAATGTACAGGATATTAATATAGGATGTACATACGGGATATGAAAAAAGTGAAAAATAATGTAAAGGTTGAAAGTTTGGTCCAAATTTAGGTCCCAACCAGGGACTACAGTCAGTTACAATCATATAGCTATCACTCTTTTTTTTTTTTTTTTAACCAAACAGGTGCTTCTTACAGCTTCTGCATTGTGCCATTTGTCAATTTAAATCCAATTTTACAATGTATATAAATAACTTTATTTTACAATAACTTTTGATTTGTTTATAGCATACAACATTTGCAAAAACAACTTTATAGCATTCTTGAGTGAACAGCATTCTCAAGGGAACATATATGACCTGCTAAGAGTTGATGAACCAATAATTTTAAAAGATTTACTTAAATTAAATAGGTTTAGGTGTGAAGGCTGTTACTGAAATTGACAAATTACCTTTACAAATAGTGCCATATCCTATCGTTAATATATTAAAAATATAAAATATAGGCTATAACAAACAGCAATATACAACATCATAGAAAAAGTAACTTCAAAAACTAGATTCAACCATTCATATTTATTTATTCCTATTGTTTTGATACAGTAAATATTTGTTTAAATGTTTGTGTAAATGTCTACCTTTCCAGCTTACTGTTGGTGGACTACCTTGTATGCAAAATTGACTACAAAGATTTGTTAGAATTAAAAGATCCAAATACAACTCACAGAAGCCTTTGAACACTTACCTGAAGTTCCTGAGGTCAGCCGTAAAGTGAATATCACGGTTCTTTTCAGTATTTCTCAGATGTGAATCACTTGTGAGGTATTACTGGTGCTGTCGTCATTGAATGTTGTCTTCTTAAAACTGCTGCATCTGTGTGCTGATGCTTATAGTGCAGCCTGCCTGACGTTTCACTGTAATCTTGCTGCCATCTGGTTGATGTCCTGCTGAACTTACACCTTTGAACAGGGTTCTGATCCCCAATCCTCACAACAAAAGCTACAAACCTCAGGAGCTTTGAAATGTCAGTGTAAAATTGAAATGAAATGATGTCAATTCAAGGTCATAAAATATATCTTTAAAAAATACAGGCACATTTCAATTGTGTGTCTCTGTTCCTTTCTGGTATCACAGATGTGTAAAGGTAATCTCTTCAATATAAGGGATTTCAGTAAGACCATTAGTTCACTAAACCAGTCTGTCCCTACATGACAAAGCATACTGAAGGCAAACACAACAAGAAAAATCCCATCACACAGCTGAAATAATATATTTACCATGAAATATTATTCTGTCACACCTAATTGTTTTTTTAATTTCAAATCACCACGTTTCCCCTTTGCCAGTTCGACCATGTTAGGCTAATACCATGGCTAAAACCCATCACTACTTGGTTTTTAATGCTAACCTGCCATGTTGAGGCTTAACGTGTTAGCAGAGAAAACATGGTGGATTTAACCAGATCTTCTTTGAATGCCAAACACTCACACACAAAACTACACAGAGAAGAGGGATTTTACCTTCTTAAAACGTTAAAAGTAAAAATAGTTTTTAATTAATGTACATTATTTTACATAATACTGTATGGCAAAAATAATATTGAAGTAAAACCAATAATGCTATGAGTATATTATTCTTTTGGTGTTCAAAGAGGTTCTACGCAAATTGTATGCAAATAAAAACACACACACAAAATATAATTTAAAATGCATTCATATATAACCATACTGGTATAAGTTATTGGCTTACGGTCTTTTAATCATTTTAAGGCATAAATATATTGGGGTAGCTTGAACAGATGAGCTTGAGTGACGCTTTCATATATATATATATATATATATATATATACAGGGCTGGACTGGGACAAAAAATCGGCCCGGGCATTTTGGCCCAGACTGGCCCACTATATAACACAACCGAACTTTGCACGCCCTTGAATATGTATACCAACTCCTATTAAAACCACTAATGCCATAAGTGAATAGGAGTGAGTAAGAGTTAACCGATGAAATATCTACTAAGTTGAACTATACTCCACAGTGATGAATCCTAAAGAAAGCTACAAGCTGGGATAGCAATACTGGTTTTTCCCACAGGTTTTTGGGAAATCTATGGTGAGTGCACCTCTGTCCCTCTAGGGGGGTTCGGGGGCATGCTCCCCCGTAAGAAAATGTTGTGCTTTTTAATGTTAAATTCATCAATCTGGTGCACTTTGAGAGTTAAAAATAAAGAGCTCCAACCCATATTCAGTGTGCAAATTGAACAAAGAAAAACTCAAAACTCAGTTGTGATATAGTGTCTGTCTACATTACACTACTACATAATAATAGTTATAATATTAATCTCATGGCAGTAATAGCCATATGTTGTAAAACAAATGCACTGAAAAATAAAAGCAACTTTCATAATTAGTTTCGTACTAATTTCTATACAGAGATAAGCACATGATCTTTTATTTTGACGGAAACGGCATCGAGCTTTTATTTTGAAGAACAATATGTTTTACAAACTCATTACTCATTATTGTCTCATTACAATTCTAATAAAATGCGTAATCGTCAAATATGCAGATGTGTAAATAATGCGTAACTGGGTAGTGGGTTCCTACATAGCCTAATGGTGTGTTCACACCGAACGCGAATTTAATTATTTGGGCGAGTAGATTACATACAAAGTCAATGCAACGACGCGAATAGACGCATCATTTGCGCCGGGCGTTGCGAATGACGCGAATTGGGCGACGCGTTTGCCGCGAATGTCCTCCGCGCAAGTTGAAAATTTTGAACTGGAGCGAATGTTCAAGCGTCTAACTAAACGCGATAGACGCGTATTTGACGCTCTATTCGCGTTCGGTGTGAACACACCAAGTGTTGTGACAGTAGCCTAGTTCTGCTTACCACAGTTCTCTGCACTCACTCATCTCTCTCCTTATCCTCCTCACTATCCTCATCAGACACTTGAAGGGCCTTTGAAGTTTCTTTTTCACGCTATTTCTCTGCACATTCCTTGCGTTTCTTCTCCATCGCTCCGACTATTTTGACAGATACACACTGACACTGCTCGCTCACTCAGAGCTCAAAGGGGGAGGAGTTTAAAGATGTGATTGGACCAGCCCAGTGTCAATCAAGAAAATAAACAATGGGCTGCTGATTTACGCGTTTCATCATGCGCCGGTCTGTGAGAAAAAGAAAAACCTACGCTGACTTTTTTGTCCAATGCATTACACCGGCACAAAGATCCCAGAGCCGCCAATTAAACAAAACTAAACGCAATGGGCCGCCGATGTACGAGTTTTATGGGCCGTTCAGACAAAAAAAAAAAAAAAAAAAAAAAAAAAAATATTTAAGTATGAGATGTATCGGCCCACAAAGCACGTCGGCCCACCGGGCAAATGCCCGGTATGCCCGATGGCCAGTCCAGCCCTGTATATATATATATATATATATATATATATATATATATATATATATATATATATTATTAATAATTAAAAAAAATACATAGGCCTATATGAAAGCATCACTCAAGCTCATCTGTTATATATATATATATATATATATATATATATATATATAATGTCACAATATTCCAAGCAGTTTTTTCTGCCGTTTTATCCAGTTGTGTAGCCTACTGTAGTATAAAAAACGGTTTCTACATACAGTTTGTTTTGCATGTGTTTGTTAACTTTAATTCTTGATTTTAACATTTATTGGATACTGTCATTGGATACTGTCATAAATTGTTTAATGTGCAGCTCTTTGCAAAAACGAGGATATAGAATTAGATATTTGATTTCACATACTGATTTTCTGATATTTATAAATGTGCTCTGCTGAGAAATAATATGTAAATTATTAAATGGATTGTGAAGAGTTATACATTTATCCAAATTATTGGACAAGGTCATTGTGGGGTTAAGAGAGAGACCGTGGGAATTAACTCTTTCTGAACTCAAAACAGTCATATGACATACGACATACAGCATATCTCATCCGGTCCACCTTAAGAGCTCAGTCAGGCAGGCTTTTGCAAGGCAACCAGGGGGAGGCCCTCACAGACACATGCTTAGCACTTTAAGGCGGACTGGAGCGAATAAAGCTTCGCTTAAAGGCACAAGCACGCTGAAATTACATAGCCTGTAGCCTACTGAATTACTTTTTTACAACTTCATCTCGCTCTGTTACGTAGCCTAGGCCTACATTATGACACGCAACGTATTTATAATAGGCTACATAAAACTTTTTTTTTTTTCAATTGATTTTGAAGTCAGTCTTTTCTATATATTTCTTTAAAATTACTCTCATTAATAAAGGCAAAGTATTTTACAATGCAATCATAAGCAGTTGTTCCACAGAAAGTATGGAAAACAAACACGGGGGGGGGTCTAATTTACAGCCTTTATAATGTGTTTCATCAAATTAGTGTAGCATAAGTTATACCAAAATCATAGCAATGGCAGCGTATAGGTCTGTATTTTATGTTACAGTGAAGCCGTTAACATAAAGTGCCACACAGAGCGAATGCGCGCACCCGTGCAGGTTGCTGACGAGCTGAAACTGGTGTTGCCATGTCCGCTACATTATAAGGGATTTATAATATTCGCATTATCATATTATTATTATTCATTATAATTATCAGTCGCTGCCTGGTTGAGTTCATATTAATACTACATTAATACTACTCCTACTACTAACAACAAGATTTTTTTTTTTAAAATATTCATCATTGTTAGAAAAGGCGTATTAAAATGCATTTATCAATCACTTTATTACTTTAGTATTACTTTAGAATTTCAATATAATATTTTTTGCTAAATATTGTATTTTTAAGTTGTCTACATAATGGGTTTATTATTATTTTTATGCTTTTTTATTATCAAATAGTTAATTCTGTTTTTCTATATAA